ACACACCCTGTCTCAAAAAATAAGGTGCAGAGTGATAAAGACACCAGACAGTGACCTCTGCTCTCTGCGTGTACACACACACACACACACACACACCTCAATGGCACCTGCACATCTGTGCCCACACACATTAGCATGAACACACACACATATATTACACACATAGCTTTCCTGTCTTTGTGCTTAGAGATTGGTAGAAGCACATTTCTGTGTGTATTTCACAGTTAATTTTTTTTCTGGATTATACTTAGCAGCCTCCAGTGGCCGCTGTAGCAAGACCTGGAAAGAGGTGTTCACGCTTGTTTGATAAGCATCAGAGAAAAAGGCTCCCAAAGAGCATGTGGGCAGTGACTTAAGCTAATGCGCGTTTCTTCACCTGTGAAATGCGGTGATTGTGCCTTTCATTATGGGCTGAATTTGAGTTTCTCACAACTCACGTTGACGTTCCAATCTCAGATGTGAATGATGGTGTTTAAAAGTGGGCTGTGGGGAAGTAACTAAACCATGGGTAATTGTTGCCTTTCTGCAACCTGGAAGATGTTGCCTTTGTCAGTTCCCTGCAATTCGAGGCCACACTGAACTAACAGCCCCTCCCCTGGATCTCCGCAGCACAGGAGCTAGACCTCATACTTTCAGCATCCAAAGCTCCGGAGAAATGAGAAATGCATGTCTGTCTGTCTGTCCTTCAAGCCTTTTAGGTTGTGGTATCCCGTGGGGGCAGCCCAAGAGTATTAAAAACTGGTGTAGATGATAAGGGCGGTTGGAATGTGTGCCTGTGGGTATGGGTTGCATTGCAGCTGGGTTGAGAGCATTCTGAGGGGCTAGGTGTGTGCATTCATTATTGTCCCCGGTGTTGATACAGAACATTTGGCAAAAGCATGAGGAAGGCAAGGGTTATCTTGGGTCACAGTCTAAGAGTGAAGTCTGTTATGGCGGGCAGTGGATCACATGACATTCACAGCCTGGAAGCAGAGGAAAATGCTGGTTCTCAGCTTGCTTCATGGAATGGTGCCACTCAGATTTAGGACAGGCTTCCAACATTTATTAGCACTCTCTAGAGACTCTTCTCCAGACAAGCCCTTGAGGTTTGTTTCCATGGTGATGCTAGGTCCCACCAGGTTGACTTCAGAATGAAGGCACACAAAGGAGAAGCCACGGTTGGGTTGAAGATGCACGGAAGCGGGTGGGGAGAAGGTTTTCATCTTGCTAGCAAGCATGTTCTCAGACACGGAGTCCAGCGTTACAAAGGGTTAAAGCCCTTCCATGCAGCCGCACACGGAAATGAGGAAACAATTTGAAACTGGACGTAAAGCACCCTTTTAATTGGCAGAGCTCTTGGCCAATCTGCGTTTCTACACTAGTGTTTGTGAAAGCAGAACTGAGGCAGAGGCAGTCAGGCTGTGTGCTCCTGGGCCAGGGCTGCTGTTGGTGGAGGTGGACCACGTGGAAGCTGGACTCTTAGGAGTTATCTACCCTAGCCCCTCCCAAAGGGTGACGGTGTGTGTGTGGGGGTGGGCTGCGATGTGATGGTGATGGTGCGTGTGTGTGGGCTGTGGTGTGAGGGTGGCGGTGTGTGTGGGGGGAGTGGGTTGTGGTGAAAGGCTGCTACAGCCTGGAGAGATGGGCTCACCAGTGCGGCTCGGGAAAACATATTGTTGACTTTGGGAGGAACTCTTAGGACCGACCACCATGGAGCAGTCATTCCTTCTGGGAGGTTTCCAGTTTAGAATTTGGGATAGCTGCCATGTTACCAGATGCTCATCTCTCAGGACCCCAAATTAATTAATTAGTGTGAATGTGTGGGTGTGTAAAGACCTGTAGTCTGCACATGCCATGGCCCACATGCAGAGGTCAGAGGACCAACTCCTACGTGTGTATTGTCTCCTGACACGTATGAGTTTTGGTTATGATCCTAACCTTTAACAACTACTGAGCCTTCTCTCTTGTCACCTCGTGAGATCTTGAAGTCAGATTTGGTTGTCAAGCCTGTGTTTAAGCTCTGTATCCACCAAACCACCAAAGACTTTCCACAGCGGTCTTGAGTGAATTAGAACAGGCTGGAGGTAGAGAGTGACTGTAAGCGTGTGTATGTGTGTGTGTGCGTGCGTGTGTGTGTATGTGTGTGTGTGTGTGTGTGTGCATCTCTGGTGCCTTGGGACTCTTGAGTGCAGTGTCTGTGGCATCTCTGCACCCACCCTTAGAGAATGATCTAAAAATATTAGGAATCTCAATCGAGGTTGGTGACTAATGGTGATTACTACGCCTTTCCTTTGCTTGAGAATTTTATGGGACAGACTCGCTGTTTGGGGCCAGATGGAGGAACTGTTAGGAATCGCTGAGTTTTGCTTCTATAGATCCCAGTTTGTATATCCTGCCTGGTGGGTGGTGAGGGTTCCGAGTGTGTGCTGTAAAGCTGCAGCTGGGAAAGCAGGACTCAGCCACTGAAGAGAGAGGGTGTGCGGAAGCAGGGACAGGAACCAGTACAAGCAGAAGCATGTTTTGTCCCCTCTTGGTGCTCTCCTGGTACCTGAGGCCGGAGAGTGGACCTTCCCCACCAGAAACCAGGGATTATGCATTCTATAAAATAATCAAGGCAGCTAGACCTCTAGACAGTGATTGGTCAGCTCTGTGCAGCTGGCAAAACCCTTTAGTATGATCCATACAGGATCAGTGATGGACAGTGAGTGAGGGAAATCACAGGTCATCCACAGAGTTCATCAGGAAGGTGAGTTTGACAACTGAAGCATATGTAGGGGAGGAAGGACTCCAGCCACCAGACCTGGGTCAGGTAACCTTATCTGACCCAGTACAGAAAACAAAGTTAGAAAATGGATAATGAATAGTTCTGCTAACCATGTCTGTGGCCTGGTCAGTCAAGCTCCTATAATTGCGCTGATATTGCTATCTACAAAGTTTATTCTCCAGAAGTGACAGGACACACACATACACACACACACACACACACACACACACACACGAGTATAAGCATACATGCACATGCACATACATGTTTATAATTTTGTGTTGAGTCACATGTAGCTAGAAACAAAGGGAGGCTATGGGCCCACACCAAACACACGTAAAGAGAGCAGAAGGATCCAGAGAGACCATAGTCTTAGCTGTCCATACTGGGGCCTTTTTCTGAGAAAATGAGGCTTGATAATAAGAACGAGGCTGACATTAAGTATCTATTGAAAACTGACCATAGCACTAGATTTACATCATTTACTTCTTACAATGTATTATTATCAACTAATTTATTAATTTATGGTTCCAGCTTAAATACAAACCTACTCAGTCATTGTCGAACAAAGCAATTACTCATGTTGGTGATGTGTCTGCCAAGTTATCACAATTGTTTGTGGGACATGTGGAAGGAGCTATTTACAAATAAAATCCCAACTGGGGACTTTAAATCAGAATAAAAAGAAAGCAGATGAATATAAAAGTTTCCAGTTTGCTGTCTTTCAGTTTCATGGTACTGGTAGGGGAGGTAGCACGCACACACACACACACACACACACACACGCACACACACACACACACTCCTACATCCTCAGTGGACTAGGGGTGGGCTATCCCGCACACACACTTCTCCATCTTGTGGTACTAGGGATAGGATATTCTGCACACATATTCTTCTGGAAGGAACTGAGAAAACAGAGGAGGATTATAATTGGGCGGTACAAAAGTTGACTGGGCATTGCTATTAGGATATAAATATTTTAAAAGTTCCAAACCCTGGATTAAAGGAAGAGCTATTTTGTTCACCATAGTGTGGCTGAGGCCTCTACCTTCCCCATATTTTAGCCTCACTTCATTTAATCAGGGTTTCAACACTCCTAGCTATTCCAAAAGTATTGATTTTTATTTTTTTTTTAAGCGTGGATCTGCAAGACAGACAAAAGACTGTATATGATATTCCTGTAATGACTTATCTTAAGAATCCGTGAACTGTGCAGTGGTGATTGTTAGGCCTGAGAGACACCTGCTCACCTTTTGGAAATGAAAAGAGATTCTGAGATTCAGAAAGGGTAAGGGATATAAGGCTGACCTTTCAGAGACAGGAAACCTTTGATGAACTGTAGGACACCAAGACAGTTCATTTAAAAGATGTCTTCAAAGCAGCACTGAGGCTGGTTTTGTGTGTGCCTCCATGAGACTCTTGGCTTGTCTTTCTACGTAAGCCCAGGGAAATAATGGTTTCTGTGGTTGTTCATGTCTGCCGCCTTCATGTGCTACCTTGGTTTCTTGGCTTTGTTACTGCTTTTCAGTCTCTTTTGTGGACAAAATTAAACTTGCCTGACCATTTGGCAGCATGGAACTTTCCTGTGATAGATTGTTAAGGAGAAAAGAGACAGGAAAAGGTCACCAATTTAATCTCCACATAATTAAGGTCTTGCAAACAGCTAAATAAAATTGCGGCTAACATTCTCTCCAGACTATAAGATGAGACACTTCTGTAGTCTCAGAAAAAGTTAGAATTCAGCTGTTGCATCAGAGTGCAAATCTTTGTTGTATGAAATTTTTAGGACTGGGCTATGGTGAGACTTGCTTGCTGTGTATATACATATGTAAATGTCTGCATGTACATATATATATATGCACATTTTTAATAACTAGATTAAAAGAGCAGTTTCCTAGAGGAGGAATTGAAAGTGGGAAGGGGGGATTGTAGAGGGGGGGAGACTGGGAGGAGAAGACAGAAGGGAAACTGTGGTCAAGCTGTAAAATAAATAAATAAATAATAAATAAAGAAACAAGTAGTTTCCGGTTTCTAACCCTAAATCATAGGCTAAATTTAAGCATGCATTAAGGTATAGTATGTAGCCAAGAATTTAATTTGCTCAAAGTTGAGAGAGTCTCATTGTATAGGTCAGGTCGGCCTATAACTAAAATACCTGCTTCTGTGTCTCAAGTGGAGTATCGGAATTTCAGATGTGCGTCACTATACCTGGTTTCCTTTAATCTTAGAAATAAAACATCCTAAAAATCTAAGATAATCTATACACTAAAGTTTTTGTAATAGAGATTAATGAAATTGTCTAGATAAATGTAAGTCAACAAATCAAAACCGATAAGCTAAAAGTTAGGATTTATATCAATGAAAATAATGAAATAAGGAAATAATGTTTTAATTTTCTCAGCAAATTCCTGCTTGGGATCACAACAGGCAACATCAGACACGGTGTTGAGATGCTTTCTGGGGAGACACTGTGTGTCACCAGTCGGCCGCTGCCTGACAGCTGGAGGCTGGCCCTTCACTGTGTGCCCTGCTGGCCTGAGAGAGGCATGGGGTGTGTGGTGTCTGTGTTTAGGGTGCACAGAAGAGGCCGACGCGAGTTGAGAGGTCGTTGCTTTGCTGTCTCACTCCACCAGTACGTTCTCTTGGAGGTGGTTTCGTCTCCTAAGACTGGAGGCACATTTCTGCCTTGGGGCTTTCACCAACATTTGCTTGTTCACCCATGTCTAACTTTACTACCTCTTATCATAAGACCTGAAACGAAAAGGCTCCCAGTTGGCAGGTAAACTGGTCTACAAATGCATCGCTGGCTCGGCAGTGCTGCCAAGAGTGGCCTTGGCAATCAAGCAGCCGTCGTAAGACAACAATGGCTTCTCTTCTCTGTTTCAGATTACTTGCCACGTATAATAGCCTCACAGACAAACACCTGGCTGGGTATTTCAGCAATACCAGGATCAGGCGGCACCTCCTAAGATCCGGGCTGGTAAGGCTGTTTTGAGCTCTGCCCACCTTCTTGTTCAATTAAGTCTGAAAACTTCCTACCTTTCTTCAGATTTCCTGTAAGTTGGTGACATAGTTTTTTTCTATACTAATTTAGAAAAATTACTTCCTTTTAAACCTCTGATTTATTTATTTGAGGCTCTTTCTAAAGAAGAGAAGTTACAATGGCTACTAAGGAAACATAAATTATTGAAGAAAAGTCCCTGTGAGATTTCAACGGCATAGTTGATTTGCTTACTTATTCATTTATTCAGTACACATTCTGTGAACCAGGCACTGTTAAAGAGCAGGGGCAGAGAAGACCTTACCTTATTGTTTCCAGAAAAATATTGTTTTTAATACTCGCAGAATATGGTGTGGCAAACATGCACAGTTCACTTCCTCTTGTGTGTATGGTGCATTTTGATTTTCATTTCCCTGTGATGGTTTATTGATACTCTAGTGCCTTCCATCATCTTCAAAGCAACTCTTCCCACGCACACAATTTCCGTTTCTTTAAAAGTGTATAAGGGAGAAAAATCTACCTCAAAAACCCCTATGGTTTTCCTTTGAAATAAAAGGGGTGTGTTTCTCAGAGTGTTGGCTGTTTGCTTTCTTAAAGCCCAGTGTTGCCAGTGGGGCTCATTGTGTTTCTAATTGTTGTTTGTGTGCTTGGCACCAGCTGGGTGGAGCTGGAGTTAGAAAGTCCTTCTCAGTCTCCTGGGGCATTGTTATCAGAAGGGTCAGCTGAAACCTGGCTCTGCCAGGAATAAGACACCGCTCACACCCCTTGCAGCCCAGCTTCCTCAACTGTGAACTGTAGACAATGGTACCCTGCCTGTGGAGTGGCTATTACTGTTAGGAACCTGGAATGAGAGACCCTGCAATTACTGTGTGACTAGGAACACTTCTGAGCAGGATGCTAGTTGGGCAGGACTTCGTGTTTACTTAACACCACCCCTAAACGCTCAGGGAAGACTTGTTAAAAGCCTGGTAACTCGCATAAGGAAGGCAAGGACTTTCTCGAGATTAACAGAGCCAGCAGCAGCCCTGCAGCTTTCAGGAGCACATCACACAGAAATTCCTCAGAAAAGTGCAAGTCTGAAGCTCACTACACTCGACCTGTGGGATTTGCTGTTGCTGAACCCCTCTGGGGGATTCATATCCACCTCACTCAAGTTTAAGTACTGTGGCTCTCTAGGAGCTTCCTGTCTGACTAAGGAGAGCAGACGTAATCCCAGAGAAGCGATAACAGTGACGTGCTCCAACTACCACCAGGATGGAGAGAGCAGTCAGGATGGACTAACATTAGGCCCCTCCCAGGGACAAGAAATCCTATAGCTAGCGCATCCTAGACACTGTAAGTGGGCTATCTGCACTTACAGCAATAATAAGGTTGCAGCAATAATATAAAAAATATAGTTAGAAAATAAAGAATATGGATGTGAGGACTGGAGAGACGGCCGCACAGTGAAGAACATGTACCCGAGTCCTGTTCCCAGCGCCCACAGCCAGCAGCTCACAAAGGCCTGCAGCTTCAGCTCCAGAGCACTCAACACCTGTGGTCTCTGTGGGTACCCATACTCAGACGCACATAGGCACACACAGACACACACACAGACATAACTAAAAACAATACTTCCGAAGGGACAGAGTGTAGATGTGGCTTGCGTTTAAACGTAAGTGGAACAAGGGATGGGGAAGTGGGGAGGAAAGCAAACAGCAGGATGGAGAGCAAGCCGCCTCCTTCACGGAAGAGATCAGAGGAAATAAAGGAAGGAGTCAAAGGAAGCAAGGGGTGAGGGCAAAACTGCTACTCCAGAGACACACAGCGATCCCCGCTGTGGCCAATATCGAGAACAGTCTATCCACACTCCCCCATAAACCGTAAAATTCTAAATCACAGCAATTAAACCATATTCTGGCCTGAAAAGTGCAGGAAGGAAAAGCAGGGAGCAAGCAGAGTAATGGAACCAATTATTTCTCAAGGCAAACCGAAGGCTTTCTCTACCCCTTGCTTGCCTTTTTCCTGCTGGGGTTTCCCCGTGAACCACAGCCAGCCTGCGCCACTCCTGTGCACGCCCTTCCCCGCGGGGGCTTTCACCAGGATGAAAAGAACACCTGGGTTCCATCACTGGGAAATTGTTACTCTAATGAAAACCTTGTTTTAAACGTCAAGTGTACCACCTGTGTGTGTTTTCACACTGGCAGGCACCGGAGACTTCCTTTCTCCTTTCTGCTGAAAGGAGATAAAGAGATGAAATAGTCATCAAAAAACAGAAGTTCCCAAGGGACAATGATAGTCTCCTTTAGGATTTGAAAAGGCAACCTTCCTCTCTCTCTCTCTCTCTCTCTCTCTCTCTCTCTCTCTCTCTCTCTCTCTCTCTCTCT